GCATCATTGGGGGTGGCCCTTGACCTTGTGCATATGCCGGGAAGTAGGGTGATGATGGGACTTGTACATCCTCCCTGCCAATTCAATATTATCATTAAAAAAAAAAAAAAAAAAAAAAACCATAATAATTAATCCTATCCCTACCTAATGGACCATACTCCCTGCCTCGAATTCTTGTTAACTGATGAATAATCACCAGAATAAACAGCTTTCACTGAAGAAGAAGAACAAGTCCCAACACTTTTCTGATTACTTCTCAATTTACTTGCTTTCCTGCAATGCAATCAGTAAACCTCATCACCACATTTTCTCCATCCCCAAAATTAACCTACCACTACCAGTTATAAATCTGTTATTATTTTATATAACAAACGCAGAATTTTATTCATTCTATTTCTCACATGTTCAGTTTAACCCAAAAAACCAACCCTATGTTTTCCTATGAAAGTGTTTTCCAATCAAGATACATCATCTACTTCCAAGAAATCCATTAATACTCGATATCCACATTTTATAGAATGAATTTAAACCCTTGGGCTTGGAATAGAAGATTTTGGTTTATTTGGGCATGGTCGGTATCAAACTCCTTGAATTTTAAGGAGACAGAAATTGACTTGCTTTGCTGTAGAAGGATATGATATAAAAAGTTTGTCTTTCGTTTAGTGTCAACGGAAAGAAACTATAGGCAAGGAAGGATTTTCTTCGTTTCTATAATTCTATTTTAACGAGCAAGCGCACTTCAGATTATTAATCATCAAGTTCTTAGCTTCAATAGAGCCAAGCAACCCCAGGTAATAAATCTTCACAATATTAAACGGAGTAATTTATCCAATTGAAAATCACCGAAAAATTTTAACAAGAAACACACACACGCACAGAGACACTTTTTTATATAAAGGATTATAAAGAGTAAAATTTGATACCTGGAAGGAAGGGGGTGGAAGTTCTGTTCAGATATGGAACTAGGGCTTTTTGTAGAAGAGAATGCGAGAGAGTTAAATCTGAGAGAGGGGATGCACGATTGTGCCATTGTTGTTTATCGATGTGAGAGGTCGCTGTGTTCTTGTGGAGGAAAGGATGGTTGCTTATCCGTTAAACGACGACGACGATGCGACGGAGTGAGGCAAGCAGTTGGTGAGGTGAGGGGATGAGCCAATGAAGGAAGAAGATAAACAAAGATTTTTATTTGGGTTACGTTGCGTGTGGGAATGTAAAACCCAAAATTGATACAATTTCGTGGCACTCGGGTTGGGCCTGGGTTTGCTGTATCATTTCCTACCAATCGATTAGGACTTAAGAAGGCCAAAACTATAATCATCAATCCTGAATATTCATGGTTATCATTTGTTAATAGATTTTACTTATAATAAAAATCTGTCACATCAGCATAGATATACATCAGGAATTATAACATCCAAATAATAATAATAATAATAACAATTTGTTGAATAGGGAAAATACTAGAAGTGGGTTCAAAAATGTAAAAGTTTTTTCTTAAGAAAAAAGTAGAAGATATGTTCATCAACAAACTAAAGGACATGTCTCTAAAATCAATACATATTATTTTGGTTAGCGTAAATTTGTATGAAAACCAAATTTGTGATTTTTACATTAGTTTTTCAGCGTAAATCATTTCCTCACATTAATCCATCCATATTCTCCAACTAATCTTTGAAATCTTCTGAGGTATGATGAGAAAAGTGGAAAGTTACAACATTTGTTGTGATTTTTGCTTTTACTTTGATTTGGATAAACTTGTAGCTAATTTTTTTTAATGCAATTACAGATACATTTAATTTTTAGTCTACTAGCAATCTAGATACCTTCATGAAGTAATTGTATGCGTTAAAACTTCTTCACTTATATTTTTTAATTCGGTTTAATACCGTATTTATCATAGATAAACTAGCTTATAAAATTTAGCGTTTGATGAGACTACAAAATGCAGCCACTGTGGGACCATGGAGGAAAGTGACGATCATGCATTAGTTGGATGTAAGTATGCTCGTTTGGTATTAAATTGCATTCTGAAATGGTGCGGGGATCCAATATCTAATTTCCAAACGGTATACGATATCTTAGATTATGCCAACAACTGGTTTGACTGCCCTCAAAAAAAGAAATTGCTTTTGGGAATATGTTACGTGTCACTTTGGTGCATACGGAAAGCCCGAAATAACAGAATCTTCAACATGAAGCGGCTGCCTCCCTCCAACTGTGTAGATATCATCCAATCCACTCTGTTTCTTTTCATTAAAAATATGAGAAATAGAACCAATATGGTGTGGGCTAAATGGTGTGAATGTCCCTTCTTTTGTTTGTAATCTTTTTTTCTGTTGTTTGTAAGCTTTTATTGTTCTTCTAGTCACTTTCTAGAAGTTGCTTTCTGTTTATATATCTATTTGCTAGTTCCAAAAAAAACAAAAGTAGCTTATTGTATAGATTATAAAATAACTTATAAGCTAGATGTCTTATAAACTAGTTTTGAAAGAGCTTATGAAAAGCTAGCAACCTAAAAACCGAAAACCTAAATCATGAAATTGTGCAACCGTGCATGGTTGATGGAAATATACTATTTAGGCTATGTTCGGAATGTCAGAACTATCGTATTTTCGAGTTTTTTTAGGATGTTATGTTTTGCAAATCAAAATGTAACTTATAAATTAGGTTTTTAAAAAATACTTATAAATCTCCTTTTTGGTTGCTAACTAGATATGATAACTAACTATATTATAATAATAGTATGTCTATATAAAATTAACTACAGAATAAAGAAAGACCTAAAATACAATTACATTTTTATCCTAGGTTTTAGTTTTTTAGTGATATATCAATCGATCACAAAAAACAAATCGCCAAAACATAGCGAAAAAGACTCAAAAAGTTCAATTGATTGTGATAATTGTGGCATTTACACTTTATAACTATATTCGAATGATATTCGATACAAAAAAAAATAAAAATAAAATTCACTTGAACATATATAATAACTGTTATTTTGTATTTACTTTAATTTAATGAAATGTATTACGTATTTTTATAAAATTAATTTAATCTTCTGCATGTTCTTTTATGATATTTTACATATCTCATATAGATTTTACCAAATGCATTTTTTAGCATATAACTTATAGCCACTAGCTATTTTTTTAACTATCACCTAACTTTTCATCCCTAAATAAAAGTAATTCCTAAAAATTAAGGTTTCCACTCATAAACAAATATTCTTACCTCTAAAAAGTTTATTTCGAAATCTATGGCTTTATAGATTGATATTATAAAATATAGTTAATTAGACAAAAGACATTATATATCGGTTTATGTTGAAACCTATTTTTTATTTCAAAAAAGCTTTTTTGTTTTTTCATTTTTTCTAACTTGGTTATTTTATCAGGTTTGCTAGTAATCTTTGGTTTTACACAATTATTTGTTTAAAAACCCTTGATTTTTATTTTCTAAAAACATCCATCATATTTTTTTGTCGAAAACCCTCACATTTAACAAACTTTTTTGTTTTAACCAACTTTTTCATTTTGATTCATTATTTCCTTTTTTTAGTTGTAGTTTATGGTGTTCTTGATAATTTTCGGCCTTAAAATAGGAAACAACGGATTTTTCTCTAAACAATACAAAAGATGGCATGCCTATATATTGTTGGCGAATTGCATTTCAAAATCTAATTGTATGATACTCAAGATTATAATACATGAAGGAAAAATGTCTAGTCTAACTTGATATCTTAAACTAGTTAAATCAAACTTAATGATAACTTCCAAACTCTAATTTATGTCTAAAATATATATTTTTAGCTTTCATATTTTCCCCGTTATAAACATTTTCAATATCAAAAATTAGATTCCTTTCAAACTCTAGTCATATTAATAATACTATGGTTGACAAATTCCTTTTGCAATATTATTCAATTTAACAAAGCCTTCGATTAGCAAACGTAGAACCTTCATTTTCCAATTTAGTAGATAGTTTGTTTATGCATACAATAGAGATTAAAGGTTATGTATATTCTAACCGAAGATTCTACATCTTCTGATTTGAATTTGAATAATAATATAATGGCTAAGGAATTTGTTGACCCTACTAATGTTGATATGACTACCAATCAAAAAACTAGTGTCTCGGATGAATGTAATGACTTTAATATTAATCAAATCGCTTTTGATATAAAAAAAATGTTGTTAATAGGAAAAACATGAAAGTTGAAAGTATATTCTAAACATAGATTAGTATCTGGAAGCAAGTTGTCATTATTTTTTTATTCATAAAACAATCTAAGATATCATGACAAATTAGGTCGTTGATATTCCTAGGCTACGATTTTTGACCATTCTGCAACAAAAAAATGCATTTTGTTAACAACAAATAGACACGTCATCTTTTGTATTGTTTTGAAAAAAAAAATGATTCTCTCAACTTTTATTGTTGAGAACTATTAAAAATACCCTAAATAACAACAATAAAAATATGAGAATTGTGAACCAAAATGAAAAAGTTGGTTCAACAAAAATTTTATCAAATGTGAGTTTTTTCGGCAAAGAATTAAATGTTTTTCAAAAGAAGAAAAACAGTTGCTGGTTTAACTTGAAAGAAAAAATGTGTAAAACTGGAATACTAGTTGTCCACCACTACATAGGACCAAATTGGAGAATAGAAAAATGTGACGTTTTTTTTTTTTTTGAATTAAGGAAAAAAAATTAGGTTTAAACTAAAAAATCGTAAATTGCAAAACGTATGATTTTTTATACAGTATAGAATTGACTTGGCTTGTGATTTATACTACCACCGCATACATTGCATTGGCTTTACCAAAGAATAAAATATGAAACCATTGATACTAGTCGATGGCATGTTCGTTTTTGTAAGTTGCTAAAGTTTCTTCCTGCCAAAAATATATACATACAATACAACATACTCTACAATCATAATGATCTTCACCTCTAACTAATGTAAACCATGAAACAGAAGAAAAAGAAATAAAAAAGGACTCAAACGACAGCATAATCCATAACCGTTAAGCACTCACGAGCAGCCTTGGTGGTGGCCTCCTCTAATGCCTTGAAAGGGGAATCCTCACCAACTTTGTCTTTAAAGCATGCCTGGCAACTTAAGATATCCGTCTCCACCGCACCAAAATCATCCGCTAGCAACGTCACGTCCCGGATTCCAAGATCCGTTATAGCCCTACTCAATTCATTCAGACTTGCTGCATACTTATCCACACATTTGCTCAGACACTTGCCTGTTTCTGAAGAAGCAATGTTCGGATCCTCCTTCAGAAGCTTCTTAGCCTCTTCCATGGCTACTTGAGAATCACTCTGGCTTTGTTTGATACGCGCTTCGATAGCCAAAGCAATGTCCTGATCAATGAATCCTGATGGAGCTTGCGCTATTGTAGGGGTCATCGCCTCTAGGCTAGATGATATTTCTGATAGGGTGGAAGAACCCGGTGCAGGTGAGGAGGAGGACGGTGATGCATCTCTGTATGAAGCTACTGCAGCAGGGGCTATGGCCTCTGGGCTTAATGATATTTCTGATTCGGGTAATAGGGAGGAAGAAGCAGGGGCTGCTACGGTTTTGCCTATGAAAATCAAGGAATCCGGGGATGAAATTGGTGTCTCTTTGGCTTCATCTAAACCTAATAAAAATGGTGGAGATGCCGCCTGGTTGGGCAAACCTTGATCTTTTGGTTCATCAAATTTAAATTTAGAATTCGGTTGGACTATGGATGGTATAGGCAGGATACTCAAACCTTCAACAGAGAGATATAATAAAATGAGAGAAGAGATGGAGATTATTACAAGTATACGAGCTTTTAGCTCCATATTTATCTCCTCTCCTCTCCTCTCCTCACTTGTACATGGAAATGCTAGAATCAGCCAATTTAAATTTGAAGCAAATATATTATATATATATATATATATATATATATATATATATATATATATATATATATATATATATATATATATATATATATATGTATGTATGGTTCGTCATTGAATCAGGATTCCCTTCCCTATATTCTAGCCTAACCTTTCAGATTCATTTTCACATTTTCTTTGAGTTTTCTACCAAGGTATAGCATTTTCAAAAAATATTTACAAAGCCGTAGTATCTTGAAAAGTAATTAGCTAAACTATAAATTTGGTTGATTTTATTATTTATTTTAAAATCATAACTATTGTTTCAACTCTATCATCCGCACCATCACTATTGTTTCCAGCCAGAACCTTTCTGGCCACCGTTCTTCTTTTTTCTGGCTAAAAATACATATTTAGATGAACCCCAAATAAAATTCAGAACTCTAAATAAAAACCAAACCAAAAGAAAATTTAACCATAGATATGCACGTCATATTTATGTATGCATCCAGAACTCAAAAATTGCAACATACGCTTACATGATTTATTTATTGGATCTCACACTGAAATGCAAACGTCGATCCCATTCCCGATCTCTCAAATCTCACCTTTATGAAATTACTCAAATTAGTTTTTCTATCGGTAAATACATTTTATATGTACTACTATATTTCAGTAAAAAAAAAAAACTCCATTTTCTTTTGCCTTCTTTTCTAGTCATATGATACAAAAATAAATACAAACAAACACATAAGAACCATCCAAAATTCCACCTAAATAAGGATGAAAATAATGGCAGCACATTGTTACAAATAATGCCACTCACTATAAAAATGCTTGCTACAGGGGGCAAACTTTTTTAAGCATGTGCTGGAGCTCTGTGGTTACCAAAATGCCATCTTCTTGAATCCTGTGGCGCATATCCGGATCCATTTTATTAGCAGCTATATAAGTCTGCAGCAACAGACCATACACCTTATCATCAACACATTTCAGTCTCTTTAAAATCCCCATTAGCTTCTCAGCACTCTCTACATCTCTCTCTTTCTCAAAATACTTCATCAACACATCAATACTGTCAATGTGGGGAAACCAGTTGCTGTTTTCACTTTGTGTTGCAGCTGTTTCAATACATTTTAAAGCCAGATCCATTTGCTGAGTCCCAACGTAATGCTTCATGAACAATGCCAAAGTCTGAACAAAAGGCCCTTTCGATTTCTTCACGGATCCATGGAAGACTAGTTCAGCTTCTTCAACCATGCCATGTCTTAAATAACCACTTATAACAGCATTAGCCACACGCATATCATAATATGAGTAATTCGATTCCCATTCTACAAAACATTTCTTCAATCCATCCAGATCATCCACTTTAGAAAGAGCCTGAAGCATAATCCGGTAACTCATGTTACTCATTGTTTCGAATGACGATTTTAGAAGATTCCATATGCGATGAACTTCCTCTTGATTATTAAGTGCAGCAAAAAACGTTATAAGAAAATGGAAAGCCTCACGTGAAGGGTGGCCCAGGCCCATCTCATTTTCAAGCATTTTTAGAGCAGACAAGGCTTTCTCATGATTACCTACTTTCACATAAGCTGCAGCAATGTTACTGTAAGTTGTCCAATTACAAGTCTCTTTTTTTTCCTTTGTTATTTCCTCAAAAACCCTCTCTACCCCCTCAATATCTCCTAAAAGCGAACAGCTATGCATCCAGATGTTATAAGTAAAGTTGCTTAAATTGATTTTCCTTTTCTTCATCTCTTCCACTAAAGGAGGGACTTTTTCAGGCTGCTCTAGTCCCATATACATGGTCATTAGATTGTTGAAAGCTAAAGGGGTGGTGAAGTTCTTGGCTTCAATTTCCTTAAAAAGAGCCAATGCTTTATCTGTCATTTTTAACTTACAGTAACAGTTGAGGAGAGCTCCGTAAGTATTTCTGTGTTGCAAATGTGGAGAAAGGTCATGAAAGTAACCTTCAGCTGCACCCACACCATGGACCTTCGATATAAGATCCAAACGCACTGCAAAGTCGGTGTTGGAAAAGTTGATATCCCTCTTATCCATCCATTCCATTACCTGCATAATCAATCATATTCCTTGTAAATTGCAACAAAGGACATTTTTGTTTTTACCGGATGCAGTTAATACTAGTAAAATCAACACGATAACATCTGGATTGATCGCTAAGCAACTAGAACAAACAAATACCTCAAGAGCGTGGTGGTACTTGCCGTACCTGCGAAGTTCCCTGATACATCTCTCTAACTCAATCTTCTTAATGAAATTACCCTCTCTAATGTATTGATTTAATGTTTGTGCGACTGTCCCACCCGTGGCTCCCAACGCCGACAGCCTTCTGTATAACCGCTTTTCATCTGCGGATTCTTTACGTGGTGGCGACACAAGGTCAACCGCAGCAGCATTTGATTCTTCCACCATCGTACAAAACATTCTCAGCAGCAGCGTCGACGTTTCGCCGAATAATATCCGGCTCCGGCAGCGGATGATCATCATCCTCTATCTTGCCTTCCGCCGGCGTATTGGTCAGTTTTCAGGGTTCTACGCTTCTAAATCAAGGGTTTAAGGAGCTGATTTTTCCACGGATATTTTTATACTCCACTGAAATTTACAGTCTATTTGACAATTATGCCCTTATTTTAATTTAGAGATATTGAAGACAGAGAAATACCCCAAGGATTTGTTTCCAAAGGACCCGACGCATACGACGCTTGCCTTCCCCCGGCAATCTGCTGCTTCTTTAGCCCATTCTTCAACAGTAAGTGATTTTTGATTCTCTTATTCTGTTGAAAAACCATGTGTGATATCGGATTCTCTTGTATGCCTGGGATTGATAGCAAATAGTATTAATCTAATAAGACATAACTGTAAGATTGGTTTATTGTTTAAAAAACTTTGGATTGGATCCAAAAAGTTTTCAACTTGCATGGAAGATTCAAAATCAAAATTTTTCTGAGATTTTGGTTCAAAAAACTTAAAAAAACAATTATACCCTTTTATTTTATTTTTTATATATTTTTTTATAATTATTCTAATATTTTTTACTTTAAAAATAAAAAGAAAATAAAAGAATTATCCCCTACCCCCACATACCCCACCGTTCTCTCTCTCTCTCTCTCTCTCTCTCTCTCTCTCTCTCTCTCTCTCTCTCTCTCTCTCTCTCTCTCAAATCATCTCAGCCTAATTGACATCTGATTGAAATCACGGCGGGCCATGAAATTCCGGTGGGTTCTAGAATAGAATCGGAGTCTATGAGAAGTAAACCTATCGAAAACGTACTTGAAAAACTAAGGAGTCGTTTACGTCACTGCCAAACTTTTCAAAAATCGGTGGTTGGAAAGCTTGCGTGTAGATGATAACCGATTTGGCAGGATCGGTGTCGAACACATGCTCTGTCCATTGACTAGGTTTTCGACTCTTCAAATTCAAGCAAACATAACCCTAAAATCGATTACATTTGAGGGAAGAAGAACGAAGATTGGGAGAGATAGGTTGATAGCGATAATGGAGACTTTACAAGTAAATCCTTAGATTAAAGAGATTGATCTTGCGAGAAACCCACTTCAGAGTTTCTGGAAAAGTGGAAGGAATACATTTGATTTTTGGTCAAAATGCAAAATCTAAACCTAAAGTTGAAGTTGATTTGGTCAAGGATATGCCTATGAAGTTGATTCGTCAACCTCTTTGACAAGAATCTTGTTTGACTTTCTACCTTTTCTTCTTTATTTTCCCATTTGACATAAAACACCGAAATCGAAACACAGAACGATGGTAGTTGCAAATGTCGATGATTGTAGGGCGGTGTCAGGGAAACAAGGAAGAGCTATTGAGCTCTCAAAATACCATAAACCGAATTGCCAATCAGAGAGATTAAGAATCGAAGAACTCGGTGGAAATCTCATACACAGTCGAAATTAAGAAGATGTAAGAGGGGTTTTGCAGTTAAGGGAGGCGGAGGTTTCCTATCAAAGACACACATACACACTCAGAATCTATGGGTTGGGTGGACTAATCGTAACAGCGTTCTAAGGCATATTCGCTTTCATATATGAGTTTGTAGCATTCAATTTATCAATCGAACATCTACATTGACAATGAACAAAGTTGTGAAGTAATATAATTTTGTTGTTATCACTAATCAAAAATTGAAATCGGCAATACCTTTTCGATTTGGAATGGATTATAGATCTAGAGAGAGGGGGAGAGAGAGAGAGAGAGAGAGAGGGAGAGGGAGAGAGGTGCAAATCTTTTTTTTAATTATAAAATAAGTATATTTGATATTAAAAAAATAAAAATAAAAAAAAACCAATTAAAAGGGTAAAAAAGTATTTTTTTTTTTTAAGTTTTTTTGGACCAAAAACACAGAAAACCTTTGATTTTGGACCATTTATGCAAGTGAAAAATCTTTTGGATCATATCCAAAAAATTTTGAATACCACAGAGACCAATCTTGCAGTTTTGACATCTAATAAGCATAAATGTTTCAATATAATCCTAATCTACTACTGTCTACTGCGAATTAAAGAATAAATTCTGATCTTGGTGACAGGCAACAATCTTCTGTTCCCCATGATCAAATTTATCTTCCCATGCTCCACATCTCTATCTTTTCTTAGGCCCTGCAAAGCAGAACAAATGTGAAAACCACATCCTATATCAAGTACCCAAGAAATTGAATGTGATGAATCATTAAATTTAATTGTGTAAATACCCGTGTAGGATGGCTTGATCTTCCCATCATTGATTGCTTGCAGATATTCTAGGCAACTTCTCTTCCAATGCCCTATTTTGTGGTAGTAGTGGCACTCTGCCTCATTGTGGTTTGAGTTGGGTTTAGCAAAACCAACTTTGGTTCCACTATAAGATTTGTCATCTTGGGACTTTCCCTTGTGGTGGCTCTTTGAGGGAGCCTTCATCTTTTTACCCTTTCCTTGCCCAATAGCCAAACCAGGGGCCTCAGTTGGAGCGGGAGTTAATGCAATAGACTTATCATTGAGATTGCTCTCAGCATGTAACGTCCGCGTTTCCAGGCTAGGCATTATCATTGATGTAATAATCTAGGTTAACCCTTGTAACTCTTTTTGAAGTATTAATGATGAAATATTTGAGTATTATGTGAATTATGTGTTTATTTTCTTAATTATTATAATTTAATGAATTAAGAATAAAATAAGCGTCAAATTTGAAGTGTGGGATAATCCCAATATCTTTGCATAAAGATGTAGTGGTAGAAACAAGGATTCCGAAGATATAAAGAATGCCGAAATCCGAGTTATAACGAAGAAGTTATGACCTGTCGAAGTTTTGCGACATAACCGACAAACGCTGAATGACGTAAAAAGTGAAATTTACGTTAGAGAAATATTTAGCCTTAGTGATCTAAACGAAAGTTGTAGAGTTCGTTAAATCGAGAGCGTGCATAAAAAGAACGCCAAAATCTGACTTCGTATGAGGAAGTTATGATTTTTCGAAGTTTCGACTTAGCAGTATGCAACCCGAATACTCGATTTGAGATCGAGCGGTTTTTAGCTGTAAAAATCTAAATGAGAATCGAAGGTCTCGTTAATAGGAGTAAAACGATAAAAAGATAGGCGAAAACGGACGTCGGATGAAGAAGTTATGAATTTATAACGGAATTTTTCTGTCCCGGCCTACTAAAAATAAATAATAAAAATAAAGTCAAAATTAGCCGACAGAGTCTAAACGAAAGTTGTAGATCGTAGTCTCACCTACACGTGGATATAAAGAACGTCAAAAACGGAGTTCGTATGAGGAAGATATGATTTTTTGAAGTTTATTAAATATTTTCGATATTATATATATATATATATATATATATATATATATATATATATATATATATATATATATATATATATATATATATATATATATATATATATATATAGATATAGATATAGATATATTATCCGAAGGGGGGGGGGAGTCAGCGACCTTATCGTCGTTACGCCCAGCGTAATCTCAAGTTACGCCCAGCGTAATTCGACCTTCCAACCCCTATAAAAGGGTGTCGAGGGCAGCCGAGTAGTTTGCTCATTTCTTCTCTTTTTCTCGCATTTTTGCATCGTTTTTCGTGCAAGAATTATCCCGAAGCCCCGGTATCATTCCCGAGCCCCGAAGCAAGTCCCGAAGCCCCGAAGATCCCGAGAAGTGCGATTCCCGAGCCGAAGCTCTGCCCGCGAGGAGTCCGGTTTTTGTGAAGATCTTCCAGATCTGCCGAAGAATACTACTTCTACAAGTCGTAGTGTTGTCACTTGTCCGATCATCTTCTGATCAAGTGAGTCTGTGGTTACTTTTTTCGAACGCATAATTGTCAAGTATTTAATATAAAATACATGTTATGTGTATATTTTGTTGTTATATGCGTGAATGTATATTCACTTTCTTCTATCTCATAGATATGATTTATTCTCTATGAAATACGTGTTATGTGTATGTGTCTCATCTGTTGTTTTGGAATATGTATTGAATGAGAATGCTATGCGGGTTTTAAACTATGTATAAAAATATATATATTTTTATCTACTAATATGTCGGGTAGAACATGGGTAGATAGTTGACGCGTGATAAACAGATGAGAGGCCTCAATGTTGTTTTTGATTCAGTCATCTAGCGGAGTTTAGATGACGAACACAGACTTTTCTAGACAGTCCTATGGAACGCTAGCAGGTTCGCCACCTGTAGGTGTTAATGAACTTGGGTGTTCATTCGCTGTACTCCATCCCCCTCATGGTTGTCTTATTTGATATATATTGCTGGGAAACCCCCGAATGCATGTGTTGTCGCCCCGATGAAATATTCTAAGACTAGGTCCCTTGTGTTAGTTGTTTTAGGGACGTAAAGTGAGAATAACGGGAATGGGTTATTTTGGTTATTGTTGATTGGTGGAATTAAATATAATTATTTATTGTGGGTTGAAAACCCTATATGCTCACCAAGCTCCCAAGCCTGACCCACTCAGTTTTATTTGTATTACAGGAAGTGGCGTAAGGGCATAAGATGGATGAACCATCAAGTTGTTTTGTTTACAAGTTTGTATATGTATATATTTGTTGAATGACTTTTAATGTTATCGTTTATGCTTTATGGTCTGTATCGGAACATGACATCCCGAGTTTTGATTATATAATGAAAATACATTTCTTTTATGAAATGCTTTAGTAAATATTATTTTATCACGTTTTGTTTTTGGGAACAAATTCCACAACTCTTTCAAATCAAAAGGATTTACTCTGAAATTATTTTAAAAGCATAAATGAAAATCGGTCTTTTCTAGCCGAGATTTTGGGGATGTCACACAACAATCCTAAGCAAGCCTCGGAGCTTGCTCAAGGTGACCTCTTCTTTATCCATATGGTAGGTCATGCGGAACTTGTTTTAGCATGGAGGCAAGGAGTGAAGGATGATGTCGATTGCCATCTCTTCATCGAAGTTAACATTTAACTTCAGCAGGTGATCAACATATCTCTGCCTCTTTTGCAGATGGGCGGTAAGGGACTCTCCACTACCCATTCGGGTAGTGATCATCGAAGTGATGATCTCATACCTCTCTTGCCTCGCACTTTGGTGGTACCGGTCCAGCAAGTCTTGATGCATCTCATAGGGATACATGTCCTCATAGGACTTTTGGAGTTCAGAAGACATTGTCGCTAGCATGATGCAATGGACTTTCGTGGCATCACGCTCGTGGTCCTCAAAGGTAGCGATCTCTTCGGGAGTGACAGTGTTCATGTCGATCTCCTTAAACTCCTATCAAGGACATACTCTCTGTCCTCGTAACAGGTGACCGTTCTTATGTTACGGATCCAATCGTTGAAATTG